CTGCTGCGCTGCTGTCTGGCGGCGCTGCGTCGGCAGCTGCTGCTGGTGCTGGAGGCGGCGGTGGAAACGGAAGCTGCTTCGCGGGCTGTTTCGGCCCTGTCACCGAAGTCGCCGCCTTGGGCATGGACTCTTGCCGTAGCGCGGGCTGATGCTGCTGCCGCTGCTGCTTGGGCATGGGCTTTTGCCCGAGCGGCGGTGCTTGTGCTGGCGTTGGCGCTGCTGCTGCTGCGCTGGCGTCGTCCGCTGTTGCTGCTGCGCTGGCGTCGGCGGGCGCTGCATCCGCTGCGCTCGCATCCTTCGACGTGGTCTTCAGCCGCGCCTTCTTGTGCTCAGGGGTCTTAACCTGGCGGCGGCCAGGGGAGTCCAGGCCGCGGCGCCGATCTAACGCGCGCGCCTTGGCCAGGCTGATGCGAGCCGCGGCCTCGCCCGTGCTCGGGGGGCTGCTCCATGGCCGCTGAGTGCTTCTCCTTGGCAGCGCTGGCGCTGCCTGCGGCGGTGCTGCTGCTGCTATTGCGGCTGCCTCGCTGCCTTGCGCTGCTGCCGACGCTGCCGACGCCCCCGTCGGACGCGCTGGCGCTGCGCCTTCGGCTCCACTCGGAGCGCCTCCTGGAGCAGCACCTTCAAGGAGTTCTTCCTGGATCGCGCGCAGGACGCGGGAGGGGCGCGGGAGGGGCGCGGGGGGAGGGGCATGGAAGACATAGGGAGGGGCACGTGAGGGACGCGGAATGGGGCGCCGCAGGAGGAGGCATAGCGACACCGAATGGCATGCAACAAGAGACATCAACGACGCAACGCATCGACACTGTGCTGGGGCAGGGAGACGCAGAGACAGCTATTGGAGCTGTCCTCCCCGTGTGGCCAAGACGGCGCCTCCGCGTGCTCCAGGTTGAGGAACTCGCCCGCGGCGCCCGTTCCCCCTGGGGTGGGGGGGCGCTCGCGCCGCGCGCCTCCCGGGGCGCGGCGCGGGGGGCCGCGCGAGCGGCCAGGCCGCTGAAGTCAGAACGCAACGAAAAAATGAAATCGGTCCGTCCGCTGCGACAGCGCTGGCAATCCCATCGCGCAAACGAGAGAGAGGCATCAGGCAAAGCGGCCAGGCCGCTGCAGCAAGGGTCAGCCACGCGAGATGACGCCAACCTGCCTGCAGATGTTTTGCACAGCCAGGGCCGCGGACGCGCAATCGCAGCGACGGGGGTCCCAGCCCTGGCGCGATCAGTTCGACGAGAGAAACTCGTGGCCACTGAGCACGCCCATGCCGCTCTTCTTGCACGCGTCTTTGCAGGCCTTGACGGCCTGGCTGCCCCCGCGCTCCCATATGCGTTCCCCTGTGCGCCCCCCTGCGCCCCCCTGCGGCCCCGCGCGCCCCCCTCTGTCCAACGGTGCGCCCTGCGGTTCCTCCTCCTCCTCCTTCCTGTCGCGCATTCCCCCCCCCCCTTCTCCTGCTGCCCCCCCCCCCCCCCTCCCCCCTCCGAAGCCCCCCCCCCCCCCCCCCCCACACACACGCACGCGCACGCGCACACGCACACGCACACGCACACGCACACGCACACGCACACGCACACACACACACACACACTCTCACACACACACACACACGCACACACGCACACACACACACACCTCTGATGGGGACGCCTCCATCATGGTGGCCTGCTTCGTCTTCAGGGTGCACGGGGAGCTCGTAGAAGCGTTCGCGTCTGCAAGATCGTAGAAGCGGATCAGGGCATGGCAACGCGTGGACTCGTCGTGCAAGCGCGGCAACTGGCGGGACATGCGGCCGCGGGCTTTTGCATGGCGGCTTTTGCAGCCTTCTTGGGTTGAGGCTCTTCATCATCTTCCTTATTTGCCCTCTCTCGTTCCCTCTTCAGCGCGGCGCAGGCCGCTGCGATGATTTTGGCAGCTTGGTCAACCCGCCAGGGCGTCACCGCTGGGCGCCGCCGCTGCTGCCGGCCCGCCTGCGAGCGGCGCCGCAGCAGCTGCTGCTGCTGCAGCGCGCGGTGCTGCTGCAGCTGCGCGCGGCGCTGCTGCTGCTGCGCGCGGCGCTGCCGCTGCTGCTGCTGCGCGCGGCGCGGCTGCTGCTGCAGCGGCAGTTGCGAGCGCGCTTGGCTCTGCGCGTGGCCAGGGGGAACAAGCGCCGGGGCGGGCGCTGGCGAGGCAGCTAGCGCTGCAGGGGCCGCTGCGTTATGGATTGCACCGCTAGTCGCTTGGAATTGGCTCGGAGTTGGCGCTGTCCCACTCGGCTGCCCAGTGAGCGATTGCTGAAGTGCCCGCTGGAGCACCTGCTGGATCTGCGACTGCATCGGCAACGGCGTCGGCGTCGTCGATGTTACCACTTGCGCGACCATCGCACGCGACGCGCCCTGGCTTGGCGGCAGTTGCTGCTGCTGGGAAGGCCGCGCTGGAGGGGGAACTCTGCCTCGAGCTGGCTGCGGCCCGCTGCTCCTCGAGGCGCTCGCGGGAGCTGCGGGCCGAGATGCCCGGCGGCGCGTCTTGGCGGTCTTCTTGAAGACGTTCCAGCCGACGGGGTCGAGATCGAAACGCTTCGGCGGGCGCAGACTGCACGTTCCAGCCGACTGGGTCGCGACGCAGCTGGCAGAATCGCCATCAACACTAACCAGCTGCGAGATGCAGGCGCTGATGGTTGCCTTCTCGCCTTCAGTAAAGCGTGACTCCGCGGTCGCAGCCAGAACCGGCTGAAGGTCCTCTGGGGGCAGCTTCGCCCTCTTGGGCTCCCGAACCACCTGCCCCGCTTGCCCGCGCGGCACCGCGGCGTGCTGCGGCGGGTCGGCGGTCGACTGCGAGATTGCGTCGACTGCGGCGATGCGCCGCAGAACCGCTGCGTCGCCCATCCTGCGGCGCAGCCGTCAGCGGCGACTGGCCGCCCGTGAGCCGTCGTCGCGGCTGCGTGGTGTCGCGCGCATGCTGCGACGCAACGCTTCGGGAAAAGTTGCCGAGCGGTCAGGCCGCTGATAAGAGGGGCCGCTCCTGCTCTTGCTCCTCCGCCCCCCTCTTCATCCTCCTTTTCCGCCTATACTGCGCGCAAGCAACAAGCGGGCAGGCCGCTTTGACGCCCAAGGGCGATGCACCATTTGCGTGAATCAATCAATGAAGATTTAGCGGCCAAGCCGCTGTTACGCACAAGGGCGCTAAGCACATGAGCGGCCAGGCCGCTGCGACGACTGACGCGGCACAGCCGCTGCAACGCGCAAAGGGCGATATTGCGTGAGAAAGAATATGAGACAACATGCAAAGCTGTCTGACCGCTGCATAGGAAGGAGGAGGCATAAAAAAAGAGAATATGCAAAGCGGTCTGATCGCCGAAGAATGTGAGGAGGAACGTGAGGATATGGAGGGGGAGGTGCTGCAGGGGACGAGCGGATGAAGGGCGGGATCTCCCCCGCGGCGGCTCGCGGCATGCATCAGGACGTCGAACTGCAGGTGGAAGCCAACTAAGACTTGGAATGCGAGCACCTCCTCCTCCTTCTCCTCCTCCTCCCTCCTCCTCCCCCCCTCCTCTTTCTCTTGGAGCGCAGCATTCTGGCGGCGACCATCAAATTGAACCTGGCTTGAACGCCTAAGTTTTGAAAGCTCATTTAACAAATAGTGCACAACAAATGGAAATAACGAAACATAGTGAAACAATTTGAAATAGTGGGAAATATGAAGTAGGGAAGGAATGAAACAATTGAAAGCACAAAGAAACATAGCTGCCTTTAGGGTTCGCAAGTCTCGCTGGTAATAGCAAGGGTCGCGCCTATAGGTATATATAGCGGGCCTATAGGCGATCTGAAGTTATAGGCATTCCTGTAAGACTGATCGATCACCCTAACCAGTTCTAACTCCTCCTCGCCTCTCCTAAAACAACATCACTATAAAGACTATAACTACTTACTTCTTCGCACCCATCTAAGCACTGTACCTCTGCCCCATTGTCCCGCCACCGTCCTCGCCACCGCCCTCACCACTGTCCCCACCACCACCACCGTCCCCACCACTGCCCCACTGCCCCCACTGTCCCCGCCACTGTCCCGCTGTCCCCACACCACTGTCCCCACCACCACGGTCCCACCACTGTCCCACAGTCCCTACCACTGTCCCACTGTCCCCAGTGTTCCCACCATTGTCCCCGCTGTCCCCACCAATGCCCCCACCAGTGTCTCACTGCCCCCACTGTCCCCGCCATTGTCCCACCACGGTCTCACTCTCCCCATTGTCTTCACTGTCCCCACCACTGTCCCACTATCCCCACTGTTCCCACCATTGACTCACTGTCCCCACTGTCCCCGCCGCTGTCCCACTGTGCTGTCCCACTGTCCCCACTGTCCCCACCACTGTCCCACTGTGCCCGCTGTCCCCGCCACTCTCCCCACTGTATTCTATCACACCACCGTCTCGCCACCGCCTTCACCACTGTCCCCACCACTACTGTCCCCACCACTGTCCCACTGTCTCCACTGTCCTCACCACTGTCCCGCTGTCCCCTCGCCATTGTCCCCACCACCACCGTCCTCACCACTGCCATTGTCCGTCCGCACCACTGTGCAACTGTCCCCACACCACTGTCCTCACCACCACCGCCGTCCCAACCACTGTCCCAGTATCCCCACCACTGCCCAACTGTCCCGAGGAGCGGGAATCGTTTGCCGCCAGCGAAGGGGGGGGTCGAACCGGTAGTGACCCCTCCCCCTTTTTCATGATGGACTGGGTGGGGCGGGGGGAGGGGGGGGCTCGAACCGGTAGTGACACCCCCGGTTTTTGAGGGACGGGGGGGGGGAACCCCCAGTGACCCCCCCCTAGGTTTTCCGCCAGCAGCGGTAAAACATGCTCTTTCATACTCTCTCTCTCTATATATATATATATATAGATAACGATACCGATGTTCGTCCTGGAAGGACCTCGTCGCCACGGCTATATTCTCCTCACAATTCTTGTCAGAACGCACCTGGGGATAGGTCCGAGGTCCACGGAGTAGGGGTATCGTTACCTTTTCGTTTCCCCATAGCCGTCGTGCTGAAGCTTCCCGTGGTCGCGCTATTGCTCCGCGTCGTGCCGCTGGTGCCAGAGCTGCTCAGCAGCGTGGCGGAGCTGCTCCACGAGCTGCTGGTGGGCGTGGCGCTGCTGAGTTCTGAGGTGGTGGTTGGCGTGCTCGTCGCCACGGTTTCTGTCCTGCTTGACGTAGGGGTGCTCGTGACCGTTGCAATTGTCGGCGTTGAGGTGCTCGTGCCCGTCGTGCTAGTCACCGTCCTTGTGCCTGTGGATGCCGTACTCGTCCGTGTGGTTTCAGTACTGGTGCTGGTCCCTGTGGAGGTAGCCGTGGTGCTGAAACTTCCCGTAGTCGCGGTGCTGCTCTGCGTCGTGCGACTGGTCGCTGAACTGCTCACTACAGTCACGGCGCTGCCTTCCGTCATGCTGACTGTGGTGCTACTTGTCCTTGTCTCACTGCTGGTTGCCGAGCTGCTCAGCAGCATCACTGTGCTGGTCTCCGAGTTGGAAGTCGCGGTACTACTGCTCGTCGAGGTGCTGGTCGTGGCGCTGGTTGCCGAGCTGCTCACAGGCGTCAGGGTGCTGGTCCCCGTCGAGGTAGCCGTGGTGCTGAAGCTTCCCGTTGTCACACTGCTGCTCTCCGTCGTGCCGGTGGTCCCCGAGCTGCTCAACAGCGTAGCGGTGCTGCTCTCCGTGGAAGTGCCTGTGATGCTACTCGTCAGTGTCACACTGCTGGTTGCCGAGCTGCTCAGCTGCGTCGCGGTGGTAGTATCCGATGAAGTAGCCGTGGTGCTGCTCGTACCAGTCCAGCTGCTCGTTTCCGAGACGCTCACCAGCGTCACTGTGCTGCTCCGCGAGGTGGTAGCCGTTGTGCTGAAGCTTCCTGTCGTCTCGCTGATGCTGGCAGTCGTGCCACTCGTCCCCGAGCTGCTTACCTGCGTCGCTGTGCTGCTTCTGGTGGTCGTACCCGTGGTGCTGCTGGTTCTGGTCTTACTGCTGGTTGCCGAGCTGCTCACAGGCGTCAGGGTGCTGGTCCCCGTCGAGGTGGCCGTGGTGCTGAAGCTTCCCGTTGTCACACTGCTGCTCTCCGTCGTGCCGGTGGTCCCCGAGCTGCTCAACAGCGTAGCGGTGCTGCTCTCCGTGGAAGTGCCTGTGGTGCTACTCGTCCGTGTCACACTGCTGGTTGCCGAGCTGCTCAGCTGCGTCGCGGTGGTAGTATCCGATGAAGTAGCCGTGGTGCTGCTCGTGCCAGTCCAGCTGCTTGTCTCCGAGACGCTCACCAGCGTCACTGTGCTGCTCCGCGAGGTGGTAGCCGTTGTGCTGAAGCTTCCTGTCGTCTCGCTGCTGCTGGCAGTCGTGCCACTCGTCCCCGAGCTGCTTACCTGCGTCGCTGTGCTGCTTCTGGTGGTCGTACCCGTGGTGCTGCTGGTTCTGGTCCTACTGCTGGTTGCCGAGCTGCTCACAGGCGTCAGGGTGCTGGTCCCCGTCGAGGTGGCCGTGGTGCTGAAGCTTCCCGTTGTCACACTGCTGCTCTCCGTCGTGCCGGTGGTCCCCGAGCTGCTCAATAGAGTAGCGGTGCTGCTCTCCGTGGAAGTGCCTGTGATGCTACTCGTCAGTGTCACACTGCTGGTTGCCGAGCTGCTCAGCTGCGTCGCGGTGGTAGTATCCGATGAAGTAGCCGTGGTGCTGCTCGTACCAGTCCAGCTGCTCGTTTCCGAGACGCTCACAAGCGTCACTGTGCTGCTCCGCGAGGTGGTAGCCGTTGTGCTGAAGCTTCCTGTCGTCTCGCTGCTGCTGGCAGTCGTGCCACTCGTCCCCGAGCTGCTTACCTGCGTCGCTGTGCTGCTTCTGGTGGTCGTACCCGTGGTGCTGCTGGTTCTGGTCCTACTGCTGGTTGCCGAGCTGCTCACAGGCGTCACGGTGCTGGTCCCCGTCGAGGTGGCCGTGGTGCTGAAGCTTCCCGTTGTCACACTGCTGCTCTCCGTCGTGCCAGTGGTCCCCGAGCTGCTCAACAGCGTAGCGGTGCTGCTCTCTGTGGAAGTGCCTGTGGTGCTACTCGTCCGTGTCACACTGCTGGTTGCCGAGCTGCTCAGCTGCGTCGCGGTGGTAGTATCCGATGAAGTAGCCGTGGTGCTGCTCGTACCAGTCCAGCTGCTTGTCTCCGAGACGCTCACCAGCGTCACTGTGCTGCTCCGCGAGGTGGTAGCCGTTGTGCTGAAGCTTCCTGTCGTCTCGCTGATGCTGGCAGTCGTGCCACTCGTCCCCGAGCTGCTTACCTGCGTCGCTGTGCTGCTTCTGGTGGTCGTACCCGTGGTGCTGCTGGTTCTGGTCCTACTGCTGGTTGCCGAGCTGCTCACAGGCGTCACGGTGCTGGTCCCCGTCGAGGTGGCCGTGGTGCTGAAGCTTCCCGTTGTCACACTGCTGCTCTCCGTCGTGCCAGTGGTCCCCGAGCTGCTCAACAGCGTAGCGGTGCTGCTCTCTGTGGAAGTGCCTGTGGTGCTACTCGTCCGTGTCACACTGCTGGTTGCCGAGCTGCTCAGCTGCGTCGCGGTGGTAGTATCCGATGAAGTAGCCGTGGTGCTGCTCGTACCAGTCCAGCTGCTTGTCTCCGAGACGCTCACCAGCGTCACTGTGCTGCTCCGCGAGGTGGTATCCGTTGTGCTGAAGCTTCCTGTCGTCTCGCTGCTGCTGGCAGTCGTGCCACTCGTCCCCGAGCTGCTTACTTGCGTCGCTGTGCTACTTCTGGTGGTCGTACCCGTAGTGCTGCTGGTTCTAGTCCTACTGCTGGTTGCCGAGCTGCTCACAGGCGTCACGGTGCTGGTCCCCGAGGAGGTAGCCGTGGTGCTGAAGCTTCCCGTTGTCACACTGCTGCTCTCCGTCGTGCCAGTGGTCCCCGAGCTGCTCAACAGCGTAGCGGTGCTGCTCTCTGTGGAAGTGCCTGTGGTGCTACTCGTCCGTGTCACACTGCTGGTTGCCGAGCTGCTCAGCTGCGTCGCGGTGGTAGTATCCGATGAAGTAGCCGTGGTGCTGCTCGTACCAGTCCAGCTGCTTGTCTCCGAGATGCTCACCAGCGTCACTGTGCTGCTCCGCGAGGTGGTAGCCGTTGTGCTGAAGCTTCCTGTCGTCTCGCTGCTGCTGGCAGTCGTGCCACTCGTCCCCGAGCTGCTTACCTGCGTCGCTGTGCTGCTTCTGGTGGTCGTACCCGTGGTGCTGCTGGTTCTGGTCCTACTGCTGGTTGCCGAGCTGCTCACAGGCGTCAGGGTGCTGGTCCCCGTCGAGGTGGCCGTGGTGCTGAAGCTTCCCGTTGTCACACTGCTGCTCTCCGTCGTGCCGGTGGTTCCAGAGCTGCTCAACAGCGTAGCGGTGCTGCTCTCCGTGGAAGTGCCTGTGGTGCTACTCGTCCGTGTCACACTGCTGGTTGCCGAGCTGCTCAGCTGCGTCGCGGTGGTAGTATCCGATGAACTAGCCGTGGTGCTGCTCGTGCCAGTCCAGCTGCTTGTCTCCGAGACGCTCACCAGCGTCACTGTGCTGCTCCGTGAGGTGGTAGCCGTTGTGCTGAAGCTTCCTGTCGTCTCGCTGCTGCTGGCAGTCGTGCCACTCGTCCCCGAGCTGCTTACCTGTGTCGCTGTGCTGCTTCTGGTGGTCGTACCCGTGGTGCTGCTGGTTCTGGTCCTACTGCTGGTTGCCGAGCTGCTTACCAGCGAGATGGTGCTGCTCACCGAATTGCTAGTCAGCGTAACGCTACTAGTCTCTGACGTTGTGCTTGATGTACTTGTCACCAGGGTCTGCGTTCCTGTGGACGTCGGAGTGCTCGTCACTGTTGCAGTCGTCAGCGTTGACATGCTCGTTACCGTCGTACTGGTCAACGTGCCCGTGCTTGTGGACATCGTGCTTGTCCATGTGGTTGCAGAACTGGTGCTGGTCCCCGAGGAGGTAGCCGTGGTGCTGAAGCTTCCCGTCGTCACACTGCTGCTCTCCGTTGTGCCACTGGTTGCTGAGCTGCTCACGACAGTCACAGTGCTGCTCTTCGTGGTGGAAGCTGTGGTGCTACTTGTTCTTGTCCAACTGCTGGTTGCCGAACTGGTCACGAGCGTCGAAGTAATAGTATACGACGAAGTGTCGGTCGTGCTGCTAGTGCCTGTCCAACTGCTTGTCTCCGAACCGCTTACTAACGTCGCCGTACTGCTTACCGAAGTGGTAGCTGTGGTCCGGCTGGTGCGAGTACCGCTACTAGTTTCCGAGACGCTCACCAGCGTCACTGTGCTGCTCCGCGAGGTGGTGGCCGTTGTGCTGAAGCTTCCTGTCGTCTCGCTGCTGCTGGCAGTCGTGCCACTCGTCCCCGAGCTGCTCAACAGCGTAGCGGTGCTGCTCTCCGTGGAAGTGCCTGTGGTGCTACTCGTCCGTGTCACACTGCTGGTTGCCGAGCTGCTCACCAGCGTCGCGGTGGTAGTCCCCGACGAAGTAGCTGTGGTGCTGCTCGTACCCGTCCAGCTACTTGTCTCCGAATCGCTCACCAGCGTCACTGTGCTGCTCCGCGAGGTGGTAGCCGTTGTGCTGAAGCTTCCTGTCGTCTCGCTGCTGCTGGCAGTCGTGCCACTCGTCCCCGAGCTGCTTACCTGCGTCGCTGTGCTGCTTCTGGTGGTCGTACCCGTGGTGCTGCTGGTTCTGGTCCTACTGCTGGTTGCCGAGCTGCTCACCAACGACACTGTACTGGTCTTCGACTTGGTAGTCGCCGTGATGCTTGTGAGCGTCACGCTGCTGGTCTCTGACGAGGTACCTGATGTACTGGTCACCACGGTGTTCGTCCCGGTGGTCGACAGAGTGCTCGTCGATGTTGCGGATGTCTCCGTTAAGGTACTCGTGACCGTCGTACTGGTCAGCGTCATCGTGCCTGTGGATGCCGTGCTCGTCCGTGTGGTTGCAGAACTGGTGCTGGTCCCCGAGGAGGTAGCCGTGGTGCTGAAGCTTCCCGTCGTTACACTGCTGCTCTCCGTCGTGCGACTGGTCGCTGAACTGCTCACTACCGTCACGGTGCTGCTGCCCGTCATGCTGACTGTGGTGCTACTTGATCGTGTCTGGCTGCTCGTTGCCGAGAAGCTCACAAGCGTCGCTGTACTGGTCTCCGAGTTGGTAGTCGCAGTGCTGCTCGTAAACGTCACGCTGCTGGTCTCTGACGAAGTGCCGGATGTACTGGTCAGTGTGGTATGCGTACCGGTGGTCATGAAAGTTGTTGTCGCTGTTGCGGACGTCGTCGTAAGAGTACTCGTGCCTGTCAGACTTGTCAGCGTCTCCGTGCTTGTAACTGTCCCACTTGTTCGTGTCGTCTCCGAGCTGGTGCTACTCTGCGAGGAGGTCGCCGTGGTGCTGCTGGTTCCAGTCGCGCTGCTGGTTCCCGAGCTGCTCACAAACGTTCTTGTGCTGCTCTCCGATGCGGTTGCAGTGGTGCTGAAGCTCCCTGTCGTCTCGCTGCTGCTCACCGTCGTCCTGCTGGTTCCAGAGCTGCTCACCAGCGTCACTGAGCTACTCCCCGTGGCTGTAACCGTAGTGCTGCTCGTCCTTGTCCTACTGCTGGTTGCCGAGCTGCTCACCAACGTCGCGGTGGAAGTAGCCGACGAAGAAGCTGTGATGCTGCTAGTATCTGTCCAACTGCTTGTGTTCGAGCTGCTGACAACCGTCACGGTGCTGCTCTGCGAGGTGGTAGCCGTGGTGCTGAAACTTCCAGTCGTCGCACTGCTGCTCTCCGTTGTGACCGTGGTCCCCGAGCTGCTCAACAGCGTAGCGGTGCTGCTCTCCGTGGAAGTGCCTGTGGTGCTACTCGTCCGTGTCACACTGCTGGTTGCCGAGCTGCTCATCAGCGTCGCGGTGGTAGTCCCCGACGAAGTAGCTGTGGTGCTGCTCGTACCCGTCCAGCTACTTGTCTCCGAGACGCTCACCAGCGTCACCGTGCTGCTCTGCGAGGTGGTAGCCGTTGTGCTGAAGCTTCCTGTCGTCTCGCTGCTGCTGGCAGTCGTGCCACTCGTCCGCGAGCTGCTTACCTGTGTCGCTGTGCTGCTTCTGGTGGTCGTACCCGTGGTGCTGCTGGTTCTGGTCCTACTGCTGGTTGCCGAGCTGCTCACCAACGACACTGTACTGGTCTTCGACTTGGTAGTCGCCGTGATGCTTGTGAGCGTCACGCTGCTGGTCTCTGACGAGGTACCTGATGTACTGGTCACCACGGTGTTCGTCCCGGTGGTCGACAGAGTGCTCGTCGATGTTGCGGATGTCTCCGTTAAGGTACTCGTGACCGTCGTACTGGTCAGCGTCATCGTGCCTGTGGATGCCGTGCTCGTCCGTGTGGTTGTAGAACTGGTGCTGGTCCCCGAGGAGGTAGCCGTGGTGCTGAAGCTTCCCGTCGTTACACTGCTGCTCTCCGTCGTGCGACTTGTCGCTGAACTGCTCACTACCGTCACGGTGCTGCTGCCCGTCATGCTGACTGTGGTGCTACTTGATCTTGTCTGGCTGCTGGTTGCCGAGAAGCTCACAAGCGTCGCTGTACTGGTCTCCGAGTTGGTAGTCGCAATGCTGCTCGTAAACGTCACGCTGCTGGTCTCTGACGAAGTGCCGGATGTACTGGTCAGTGTGGTATGCGTACCGGTGGTCGTGAAACTTGTTGTCGCTGTTGCGGACGTCGCCGTAAGAGTACTCGTGCCTGTCAGACTTGTCAGCGTCTCCGTGCTTGTAGCTGTCCCACTTGTTCGTGTCGTCTCCGAGCTGGTGCTACTCTGCGAGGAGGTCGCCGTGGTGCTGCTGGTTCCAGTCGCGCTGCTGGTTCCCGAGCTGCTCACAAACGTTCTTGTGCTGCTCTCCGATGCGGTTGCAGTGGTGCTGAAGCTCCCTGTCGTCTCGCTGCTGCTCACCGTCGTCCTGCTGGTTCCAGAGCTGCTCACCAGCGTCACTGAGCTACTCCTTGTGGCCGTAACCGTAGTGCTGCTCGTCCATGTCCTACTGCTGGTTGCCGAGCTGCTCACCAACGTCGCGGTGGTAGTAGCCGACGACGAAGCTGTGATGCTGCTAGTATCTGTCCAACTGCTTGTGTTCGAGCTGCTGACAACCGTCACGGTGCTGCTCTGCGAGGTGGTAGCCGTGGTGCTGAAGCTTCCCGTTGTCACACTGCTGCTCACCGTTGTGCCCGTGGTCCCCGAGCTACTCAACAGCGTAGCGGTGCTGCTCTCCGTGGAAGTGCCTGTGGTGCTACTCGTCCGTGTCACACTGCTGGTTGCCGAGCTGCTCACCAGCGTCGCGGTGGTAGTCCCCGACGAAGTAGCCGTGGTGCTGCTCGTACCAGTCCAGCTGCTTGTCTCCGAGACGCTCACCAGCGTCACCGTGCTGCTCTGCGAGGTGGTAGCCGTTGTGCTGAAGCTTCCTGTCGTCTCGCTGCTGCTGGCAGTCGTGCCACTCGTCCCCGAGCTGCTTACCTGCGTCGCTGTGCTGCTTCTGGTGGTCGTACCCGTGGTGCTGCTGGTTCTGGTCCTACTGCTGGT